CATTTGCAGATCTTGGTGCCTGTTTGCAAAGCTGTGCAATTGTTATTCTGTTTGGACATTCTGACACCACTGTTGTACATGTTTATGCATTATAATGAAAGAAAACAACTCTTTCAATTATTATTTCAGAGAACAGTGAGACACTAGAATTGGCTTCTTTGCAAGACGGTGAATGCTAATAAGCCAGTGGTACATGATACAACACTCTGGCAAAAATCAGTGACCATTTTCCTTAGAAAATAAAATAATTTGGGGATTCTATATCCTTCCAAGTTGCTTGGGAAGGTGCTTTTGACCCCTGATTTTCCTCACCCCAATCATAAGTGTTCTGTAGCTGGAATCTCATTAATAATAATACAAGTGGGACCTGCTACAAACGTTAGGAGTTCTGTTGTTCAGGGTTCCAACCAACCATGTTCTCCACTAGGAGACTCAATTCTACCCCACCTGGTTTTCAATTCCCCCCCCCCAACAAATATACAATATGCTTACTACACAGTATTTTGCTGGGCATGCTCAGTCCTCATTGGGCTCTTGAGGTGGGTATGGGTTTTAAAATATATTTTTAATGTACTTTTTGTAACTATCAGGTTTCCCACAAGAATACAAATTTTCCCCCTCTGGCTTCTCAGTGACCCCATTTTGGCTCCATTTTTATGGTATTCACCATCAGAGTTCAGAATTAAAAGGGAGCAATAGGAAAGAACCACCATTCCATTTCTCAAGGAATGAAAATGCAAATAGGTAAATGGTATTATCTGGATGCTACAAAAACAATCCGGTTAAATAAATGAAATAATTAAGTTATCAAACCTTCCTCTTTGCTATGGTTGCTCAAAATTTTACTCATGCTCTCATCACTGAATTTGACCTAACTTCTACACTCTTGGCAACTGCATTAAGCCTTGGATTTTAATCCAATTTCAGAACAATCGACTGTGCAGACTCTTCTACTTTGCACTGCAGATAGCCAACCTTTGGCAAGTGCACACACACAAGCTCCCTATATAGCCATTGCAAGTGCTATTGTGACAAGCTGGAGGAGTGGAACAGCTATTGGTTTCAACTGGGCACACTGATCTTACAATTCAAGACCCTATGCCATGAAGTATCCCATCCATCACATTAAATTGTTCACCATGTGGGGTCTAGTCTGGACCCCAGGGATGTCTGAAGTTCGATGAGGCTAAAGGATCTAATTGCCTTTAACTTTAAATTCCCTGCCTCATTTTACTGAAACACTAATTTTAAATTTTAATAAATCCTCCTTATGAACTGCTGCTTCCAACACACAGATTCAACTTTTGCTCAGCTTACATCTGTTTTTCAAATCCAAAGTAAACATTCTTCCCACTGTGTTTTTAACAAGTATGCTACCCACACCTTGTCTCTACTGACAGGTATCTCTTCCCTATTCAAGGAACATTCATCTCCACACCTTGATGAGTTATTCTTCTTCCCTGCTATTCAGGAAGTGTTAGGTACCTTGCTGCTGCTGCTGCTGCTGCAGCAACCACCACCACCAACAACAACAACAAAAACAGAGGAAGAGTACAACCTGGCTTTGAAGGAATAGCCCTGTGGGATATCACAGGTAGTAAGTGCTGCAATGTGAAAGCTAAGAAAATTGACTATCCTAACAAGGGAGCTCTCCCAAGGGTAGAGGTCTGCAAAAAAACCAAGTCAATCAAACATGCATTTATTACATGCAAAAACCCCAGCTTTTGAGCTTGCAGATAAAGCATTCTCTCAGCTTCAGGTTTCAGGTTAAGAACGGACCTCCAGAATGAATTAAGTACTTAACCCGAGGTACCACTGTAGTATCTGGTAATATCGTAATAATGAATGAATAAAGTTAGCCCCATGTAAAAATTACTCATTGTAATGTTAAAAGGAAAAGATATCTGGTTGTTCATATGCAAGTGACTAAAATACACAACCAAAGATTTGTTCGTTTTTTTAAAAAAGGCAAAAGTTAAAAACCAAGTTCCCTCCACCAAACACACATAAAACTTTGGTCATAAAATTGACATAGTACAGTTAAATATAATGGCCAGGGGGCCAAAATGTGAACTATTAGAATGCAACTAAAAAATATCTTTCTCTGCTCCCTGTTTAGAGCAAGGTTCCCACTGCTGAGATGTACAACTTTATGCCTGCCTTTCCACAGAGAGTGCCCAGGTGGATAATATTATTTAAAACTCAGGGTTTGCTTTTCTGAATTAAAATGAGAGACACACTGCACTCAGATGCAAAAAAGATTAAACTGAGTTACACTAGAGGAGTCTACCACATTATTTTTTCTAAGAGGGTCACTGTTCTGAGCATGACAGCTGACTTGGAAGAAGGAAAAGCCAGAGGAGTGAACTGTACAGTACAGAGAAGCATCTAGTTGGGTGCTTTTGGCTCACATGAGTCTTTAAGCTATTTCTCACAGCCCATTAGCAGATCTATCATAGCATGCTAATGCCACCCTACACACATACAATTGTTTCAAGATTGCTGTGTTAGGAAGCTATTAGTTAGCTGAACCCATAAATAAAAACAGCTATATGTAAGTGAAATACAAGACCAAGTTTCAGTCGTATCTGAAATATTAAGGCAGCCAAGATAAACCAAAGAATCTGAAAAACCTTTCCCAACAGCTGTAGTATAATAAAAAAGAATCCATCCTAGACAACAGATTAGCAAACTGAACAGGGACAAAAATAACCCTTTCATAAAGAATTGTTCCTAGTATCATCCCAATGTGATAAAGTATCATTGGACTGACAACCAATATAAACCGAAGCTCCAACTGAAAATGCATCACTATATGGGCAGTTTGCAAAAAGCTGCCTCTCTCAAATTCTTTTAGAACAATTATAAAGATTCCTAGGATATTTATAAATAAACCACCACGTGCTACTTTAACCATGGTATAAAAGCTAAGCCATGCAGTAAATGCAAATATAATCAATTGCAAAACAAACAGGATCTATGCAAATGTAAGATACTGTACTTGAAACGTTTTTATTCATTTAGTATAGTGTTCTATAAATTTAAGTACATTGTTGTGGTTTACTTCCTAGATGACTTATATGAGCAGACAGCTGATATCCAATAGTTGTTTCTTCCCTTGTAAACAAGCTGCAGATTTACTGTTACCTTATCACCTCACTGTTGCGTAGGTGTGTAACGCATTAGGACGCAACTCCCCTTAAGTCATTACTATCAATCCAACACTTTGTTCCAAAAAGCAGGAAGTTGTTGCATTTTGAATTACATTTATTACTTTACTTATTTTGTTGTAACAGTTTTCAAGAGCCTGAGTATTGAGAAATGAAGCTGAAGTGGCTGTTAGAAGATAATCTTCTCTCTCTCTTGTTCTGAAGGCATCCCTGTCTAGGGAAGTTTTTAATGTTTGATGTTTTATTCTGTTTTTAATCTGTTGGGAGTCGCCCAGAGTGGCTGGGGAAAACCAGCCAGGTGGGCGGGGTATAAATAATAAAATTCTTTTCTTAGAGGGAAATAGGTAAGAGGCAACAGTCCTGACCCTCTGTACCAGAGCTTTCTAAAACTTTTTGAAGTTGGCTTGCAGCCTGTAGCAGCCAAAAGAATCTTCTTCAAATACAGTATTTACAAACTTCCAATAGGCTTAAACTTTTGCCATTGCACAAAAGTGATCCTAATCCCTTGGTCAAGCAATCAGAGAAGGTTCCAACAACGACTTCCCGGTCAAATATCACTGTCATTTATCATAGTTGCATTCTTGGATCAGATACAAATTTTGAATCGTAGCATCTTGGTTAAAAAGCCAGAACTTGCTGGCAATTGCAAGCCGTTATCATCAGCCCAAGAACTGCAGACCTCACCCCATGATTCATTCAAGAAACAACGGGATCCTAAGTGTCTACTCTTTAGAAGGAATAATGGAAAACAAAATATTACATTCAGTATTAAATAAAGTTATAGGTCACATTGTAGAGTAAAAAGCTTGCCCCCACAAACACCTTCATGCTTATGAGTACCCCCAGGCTACTTCCTTCTCCACCTGGCCGCCAACCTAATTTTCCCCATATTTGTTTCCCTCACCTACTGCTACTAAACTGACTCAACCAAAATGCTTAAATTTGAAAGTAGGAAATTGCACCTGTGGGGAGACAACAGCGAGCAGAAAGAGAAAAAAGAAGATTCAGCCGCCACAAACCACAAGGAAGCGTTTTTTAACATACTAGGCTGGGCAAACTCAGATTTGTCACCGAGCAGGAAGCTAGCTACAAGATGTCCCACATCTCCCCAGAGAGCACACATGCATGTGCAAACTGGCCCCTTAAGAAAAGCCATTTCAGGCTTAGTCCTAAAAACTTAAAGGGAACAGGGCGCAAAAAGCTGGGTGAGGTGGGCAGAAAGAGGACCCACTTAGCAGGTGTTGAAGTTGAAAGCAGGCAGGATATTTTGGGGGGGAGGGAGGTAGTTAGCCCCCCCTTTCACCACTGGAAAAGTAACAAGTGGGGCGGGGAGAGAAAGGAAGCAAGAAACTAATGGAGGCAGGAGGGGGAGAGAGAGAATACAGTATATTATTTGAGGAGAGGGAGTGAGGAGAGGACATCCCCCCACAAAAAAAGGACGGGAACGGGACCAGGTGTGACACCCGCCTCAGAAAAACGAGGGAGGGAGGGGCGAAGTAAGAGAGAAGAGAAAGTTGAAGAGGAGCCCCCCCCCAAAAAAGGATGGGAACGTGATCAGGTACGACACCTCCCTCAGAAAAACGAGGGAGGGGGCGAAGTAAGACGAAGTAAGAGAGAAGAGAAAGTTGCAGGGGACCCCCCACACACAAAAAGGATGGGAACGGGACCAGGTGTGACACCCGCCTCAGAAAAACGAGGGAGGGGGCGAAGTAAGAGAGAAGAGAAAGTTGAAGAGGACCCCCCCCATACACACACTTTCCTCAGGGAGGGGCAAAAGCGAGCCCCTTTTTCCTGAGGAGAGACCCCTCCCCACCCCAACGCCCCACCTACCAGCTGCTGCCGGATCCACCGCCACATCCCCTCGACGGGCCTCTTCGGTGGCTCCCAGCCCCCGCTTCTCCGCGGGCGAGGCTTCCCCTCCCGAAACCCCCCCACCCGCCCGCTTAAAATACAAAAACGGAAGCCGCCGCCCCTCAGTCCGGCACTAGCGGTGCTGCTGCTGCTGCTGCTACTGCTCGTGCTGCTGCTGCTGCTGCTGCGGTCGCCTCCTCCTCCGCCTCCTCCTCCGCCGTCGTCTTTTTCTTCGTCTTCTTTCGCAACCGCCGCTCCCGCTCCCCATCAGCGCAGGGGCCGGGCGCTTCCCTTCAGCAGCAAGGCGGAAGCCCGGCGGCCGCCGCCGGCAGCAGCGGGGGCCCGGAGGAGGTGCGCGAGGCGCAGGTGCCGCTGCCGACGCCGCGGCCCCATCCCGGCCGCCATCCCGGAGCACCCGCTCGACGCCGCCTTGCGCCCGTCACCAAAAAGGGTCTCCCCGCGCGCCGGGACCCGCCTCGCGGAAGTGACGGCGCGCCGGGGGAAAGGGGGCGGGGCCCGGCCGAGCGCGCGGCGGGGAGAGAGGCCCAGTCGGGAGAGAAGCGGCTGAGGTGAATTCCAGTCCCTTCCAAGCGCCGCCTTTCAAACTCCTCGCAGGCGTGTTTTTAAATGTAAGGTTGTGGGCTTTCCTCACGCCCCGTCGTTTTGTTTTTCTGTAAAAATGGTAATGGTGATGATAGTTGTTGTTATTATTATTATTTTAAATATATAATATAAAATAATAAGTTTTGTTTTCTGTAAAAATAGTAAAGATAATTGTTGTTATTTTAAAGATCTAATATAATAAGTTTTTCTGTAAAGATGGTAATGATAATGTGTTGTTATTTTTAAAATAAAAAATAATAAGTATTTTTCTGTAAAAATAATAGTGATAATGATAAGCGTATAAGACTCCCCCATGTAAAAGACGGCCCCTATTTTGGGGGACTCCAAGTTAAGAAAACACACCTCAGCACTACACATATATAAGACAACCCCCAATTTTAAACCTAATTTTTGGGTAAAAAAACCCGTCTTATACACGGGAAATTATGGTGAGTGGTGTTGTTATTTTAAAAAATCTTGTGTGAGTTGGAAATGTTTTGTTGACTTTTAATTATTATTAAACAGCACCATGATCAGTAGCCTCCAACCTTTCCTCTAATGAAAATAGGGACGTCCTACTCAATAATAATAATATTTTTACTATTTATACCCCTCCCATCTGACTGGGTTGCCCCAGCCACTCTTGGCAGCTTCAAACACATATAAAACATAATAAAATATCAAACATTAAAAAGTTCCCCAAATAGTAATAATAATAATTGCAAACCACTTTGAGGTGTGTATTTGCTTTTTTAATAGTCAAGGGGTGCACAATTTTTAATGAAACAGAGCAATGAATGAGACAAAATTAGGCAGCTGCTCTATGCCAAGTCAGGTTTGCCTAGCTCAGGGCTGCCTACACTGACTGGCAGCGGCTCTCCAGGGTTTGTTTTTTAAGGCGGAGGAGTGGGGCATTCCTTTCCCTGTCTTACTTGGAGATGCCCTTCGAGGGATTAAACCTGGGACCTTCAGCTATGTAAGGTTTTGCCACTTAGTGGAAAGTCGCCTGGCTCACAAATATGTGGCAGAATTATTAGTATTATTGCACACAGGGTCTGCTCTCTGGTCACAGTGTGTTCCTAGGAAATTGTTTGCTGGGTGATTGTTCGCATAATGAGTCTAGGTTTCCCATTGATTCCTATGGGGAAATTTCTAATGCGTTCCCAACCATGGGATTTTGAGACATACACACACACCCCAGAATGATGAGAAAACCCAGGAAAACCCTTTGAAACCTTGCAAAAGGAAAACAAGGGGGAAATTGCTCTCTTATTTGTCCGATCTCTTCCCTCCTTCCCACCATGGATCCTGGCAAAATGGCTACAGCGGACTAGGAAAACACACAAAAAAGCAATGCTTTTTAAAGGTTGCTTACTCGTTTACAGTGCTACACTCAGGTCTGTGGAGTGTATAGTGAGGTTTGGGTACTAATTCATTGTGTTTGGATAAGTGAAATTTTCATGTAACGAGCTTTTGGAACATGGGATCTGCTTGTCTTATTCTTTATTGAGTTTGTTAGTCACTTTATCTTGCCCAGCGCAACCCACAGCAATTTATGACCAGACAAACAAACAGACAGTAGAACCCAACCCAACACAGATACATTAAAACCAAGAGGAGAGAGAAATCCTGCCCACTTCTAAAGGTCTCAGATAGTTACGAGATTAAAGGCCTGGTTATAGAGGAATGTTTTTGCCAGGCACATAAAGATATGCAATAATGGTGCCAGCTGAGCCTTCCTGGGGTGAGCATTCCACAAATGAGGAACCACTGTGTTTTACATACAGAAGGGGGGGGGAGAAACTTATGGGCCCTCCAGAAGATGTTGTACTACAACTCCCATCAGCCCCCTGCCCCAGCTTGTAAGGCCAGTGCTGGAGGATGATAGGATTTGTAGTCCAACAACATCTGGAGGGCCACTGGTTCCCCTTTCCTTCTGTATGTAGTATTTCAGGCAGCAGTTTAGGAGGTGTTGTTGTATTTGAATGCCCCTACCTGCCAATGGAGAGCCAGTGTGGTGTAGTGGTTAAGAGCGGTAGTCTCGTAATCTGGGGAACCAGAGGCCCTCCAGCCTCACTCACCTCACAGAGTGTTTGTTGTGGGGGAGGAAGGGAAAGGAGAATGTTAGCCGCTTTGAGACTCCTGAAGGGGAGTGAAAGGCGGGATATCAAATCCAAACTTGGGACACGGGTGGCGCTGTAGGTAAAAAGCCTCAGCACCTAGGGCTTGCCGATCAAAAGGTTGGCGGTTCGAATCCCCGCGGCGGGGTGCGCTCCCGTTGCTCGGTCCCAGCGCCTGCCAACCTAGCAGTTCGAAAGCACCCCCGGGTGCAAGTAGATAAATAGGGACCGCTTACTGGCGGGAAGGTAAACGGCGTTTCCGTGTGCTGCGCTGGCTCGCCAGATGCAGCTTTGTCACGCTGGCCACGTGACCCGGAAGTGTCTCCGGACAGCGCTGGCCCCCGGCCTCTTAAGTGAGATGGGCGCACAACCCTAGAGTCTGTCAAGACTGGCCCGTATGGGCAGGGGTACCTTTACCTTTACCTTTACCTGCCAATGTGTAAAAAAACAATTTTAAAATAACATCCTGCAAGTAAAATATTAACATTTCAGAGCAAGAGCTCTACCCCACCCTTTTCTGCCTATAGGGAGTTGTAGGTTTTGTTCTGTTTTACTTTGGTGAGCACTGGGAAAAATTTCTGACAGTTGGTGAGTTAGGAATCAGTGCAGCTTTGAAAGGTTTAGTCATTCATCTTGATTCAAAATGGCATTTAATTGCAGCCAAAGCAAAACCTGCAGGAACCACCATGTAAATTTTTGTGACAATATCTTAAGAAGCACCCATACCAGTTCAGTTTTGAAAGGTTCATTCTGCTCTCTTGAGTCAACATGTCTTTCAATTATAGGAAAACATAAACTTACTTCTTGATCTCGGGAACCATAATGCAAAATTTGGTAAGAGGTGTCCAAGTGCATGCAATTTGGAATGACTTAGTCCACCATACTGATTCCAAATGACATCCAGTGGTGTTCAAACATAGTAAAAAAAACTCAGTTTCAGGAACCATCATATTTTATGAGGTGTCCGATATACGGAGAACAGATGGAAAGCGAACAACTTTCCAAAATATAAATATAGTATATGTACTTGAAAATGTTTTCTTTATGCTACAGTTGCAGCAAGAATACTCATTATGACAAATTGGAAAAGTGCTAAAGTCCCTTCTAGATTAGAGTGGACTCAAAAAATCATTGAATACACGGAATTAGATAATTTATCAGAAAGAATAAAAAAAAAAAAAGGAAGTATTTATCTCAAAATGGGAAGTTTTTAAACTTTATTTGAAAAACAGTAATGACAGTTTAAAGTCTGTAGCAGCATTTGAATAACTTCAGTAGGAGTTTTAAGTTTGATGGAAAACCCAGGATAGATTAAATAATATTAAAACCAAAACATGTTATGATATGGCAGTGAACAATTGATGAGAAATAAAAGTAAGGAGTATTGTAGACAGGAAGTCAGTGATATAGAAAAAAGATCACTTTTGTGTTAAAGGTATTGTGAGCACTATTCAATGTATTGTTGTTTTTTCTTTTTTTAGTTGCCAGGAGGTGATGGATATTTGTTTATTTTTATATTTCTTTTTTGTGATGTATTAAAGTGAAACAATTATAAAAAAATAAAAAGAAAACGTTTTTGTGTCATGTCAATGAATCTATTCTTGTGAGACTTGGAGTGAGACAATCACTACGGACTCGCATTGAGTACATTTCCTATTTTTCAAAAATGTTGTTTTGAGCAGTATTTTGAACATTAGAGAAAACACTTTATCTCTGTGTGACCTGGGTCATGCCTTAATCTCAGTTCAATTTATTTTATCATAGTCAAAGCATCAAACTGAGTAAACCCTAAATCCCTATTCAGATGACCTGTTCTAACAAATAGTAATTCCTGTTTAAAATCTACTTTCCAGGGACTTGTTTTGAAACTATGGGAGACCAGTGCTATTACAAACTTGAAGTTAGCATACTACTGCGATGAGTACCTTAATTTCAGAACAGAGGTGGTTTGTGGAGGAGAAAGTGTTTTAACTGCAGTGGGAGAAACATCTTACAAACTATTGAGTTGTGTATGTAGAGAGGGAGGTAATTACAAGTTGTTCCTTTTTAGAATTTATATTCCAGTCCATTAAATTTATCTCTCATGCTTAAGTTACATCCCTGAAGTACAGACCTAATGCCATAGCTGTAATGCTACACTGATTTGGGTCCATTATCTTAGGGATATAGAGCATGACACAGCAGCCCACAAACCTGCACCAATTAGGCCTAGTTCACCCAACAGCACCTAAGAAATATTTAGAATATTTCTGGGCTGCACCACTTCGTTCATCAGGTGTGGAAAATAATAGGAAAAAGCATTTAGGTCATGTGACCTAACACATACAAAAATGTAGAAAAGTAGACACTGGGGATGTGAATTTCTAGCCTGTA